TTTTAAGCCTACAATTTATTCCTTTAGATGTTTTGTTTACAATTTATTTTATTTGCTTTTGATGCCTGTTCCTTTTTCCCCAGCCTATTCACATTTTTTAAAGATGTTTTAAAAAAGATTTCATATGCAGACAATGGAGGATAAGGCCTCCAGAATATGAACAATTAGCAGTAGCAAAATCTCCTTTCACATTCCCCAACCAATGTAATGATAAAGAGTGGTTAGATTTATTCAGTCTTTAGCCTTTAATCGTACTAATCTGTGGGATTTGTCAAAAAGTCTTTTTTCATGACGTGCACAACTGTTCAACAGAAAGTGGACTGAGATCACTAATGCAATCTATATAACATGACTTAAACAAAGTTGTGTTTCTAAGTTGCATGACTTTGCTTATAATAACTATTAATATAATTGTATGGCATGGACCATATGTGAAAAGAATTATATCTAATCAAATATAAACAAGCACTGTTTCAGAGTGGAGACCTTACTTTGTTCATTGTTTTAAAATTCTTAAGGTTATTTTGAAAGAGCTATTGTATTAAGCTATCAGGGGAAATGTCCAGAGTTTCAGAAAGCAAGATGCCTGTAGTTTTTCTAGAACACGGTACCAGCCATTAGACAATAATAAATAATTTATAAAATCATAACAGAGTAATAATGATGATGAATAATTCTTCCAACAATTTTTACAGTATTTAATACTTTCCTCACAAAGCAAGTACCTGGTCAGCAAACACACACGTCTAAGTTTGCATATTGGCAACCTGACTGAGAGTGGTGTCACAGGTTCAATTGCAGCAGTTGCAAACCCTTGGATTGTTGTGACTTAGCTATTAGTATGTTTTAGGATATAGCCCTTGCCTGAAAAGGTACAACTTTGCAATGCCAAGATGGCACTTAATATGTGCTAAACTTCTTGAACATGAGTCTGCTGTCATTTTAACTGTACTTAATAAGTGTTAAGTTGAACATGTCACACCATCCTGAAGGCAATAGGATACATCACAAAAGAAATTAAACATGTGGACATCAGGGCTTACATAATTTGCTAGTGCTCATAACACTATCTGGCTGTTTAAGGTACAGGTTTCCTTGCTTTATGCTGTACATGTGTTCCTGGAAAACGGTAGATAACTCGAATTTGCATAAAGAGAACCCATTTTACAATGTAACTAATAGGGGAAAGTTCCAAGACATCGACTGTACTGACCCCCAAACCCATTTTTCCCACTTTTACAAGACAATTTTGGTACTCACCAACAGCAGACAGTACACACAAGCACAGGGTGGTGATGGATGTTACCGTAATGGGGAGGGCAACTACAGAAACGTGTTGCAGACAACAAGCAAGGAGTCCTGATCCACACAGGAGACTATATTTTGGAGCATTTGGTGCATATTTTTGTATGGTGCTTCTCAAATGCACCATACAAAGCAGCTGACTGCAGGCTTCCACCACACTGGTTGCATAAGACTGAATTTACTTCCCATATAACGAATTTTTGGTATAAGAGGGGTCATCACATAAGAGCGAATTTGCACATTCAGAACCTGCATAAAGTGATGGAACCCTGTCTTTACATTAGTATAAAATACCTAGGAAATATAAACACATATGTTTAAGGGCCATGTCATTCATTGCACCCAGGACATATTAACTTTATTTAACATGCAAGCATCCACATGCTCAAGCAGTAAAACACAAGCAAGATACTATCATAACATAGAAAAGGCAAGTCCTGTGTCCAGTTTTGGGCTCCCCACTGCAGAAAGGATGTGGAGAAGTTGGAGAGAGTCCAGTGGCGGGCGACTAAAATGGTTTGGGGGCTGGGGCACATGACTTCTGAGGAGAGGCTGAGGAAACTAGGCTTATTTAGTCTGGAGAAGAGAGGACTAAGAGGGGATTTAATAGCAGGCTTCAACTCCCTGAAGGGGGGTTCCAAAGAGGATGGAGCTAGACTCTTCTCAGTGGTGGCAGATGACAGAACAAGGAGCAATGGGCTCAAGTTGCAGCAAGAGAAGTTTAGGATAGTTTAGGAAATACCTTTTCAGTAGAAGGGTAGTAAAGCACTGGAACAGGCTACACAAAGAGGTCATTGGATTTCCATTCTTGGAGGTTTTTAAGACCCAGCTGGACAAAGCCTTGGCTGAGATGATATAGTTGGGAGTGGTTCTGTTTTAAGTAGGGTGTTGGACTAGTTGGCCTTCTGAGGTCCATTCCAATCTTAATTTTCTATGATTCTATGATTCAAAAGTACATTTTTTTTCATGGGAGAAGTATTTCCAGATCATATTAACTAACACCTGTTTAGCTGTCATCGAACTACTCCACAAAGATAAGACGAGTTTAAGACTTGGTGCGGTGTGCAGGCTGGGACTAACAATCAGCTGATTGCCAACCCCAGACTCAGTTCTGCACAGGAACTAGTTCAAGATTCTTGTGTGGTGCAAAATCTGGGACAATCAGCTGATCTTTAGTCCCAGGCCCAGTACTGCAACAGGGCCAGTTCAAGGCTGCAGATCCAGTGACAGGTGTGGATCCAGCACCAGAAGCAGCACCCTCTACAAGGCTTAGTTTCCCATGCCTCCCTCCTCCTGCCACCAATTCAGGCCTGGCTTGCCCCACTGTGCCAGGGGCAGGTGCAGTGCTAGGAGGCAGTGGTAGGCACACGGTGGGGAGATCATGGGTTCTGGGTGTTGTGACTGCATATCCTCACAGACATGTTAGCTGCAGTGCTGGGGTCAGTGTCTAGGGGCTTGGGGGCACAGCTGGCTCCAGCCCTGTTCAGGGCGGGCTGAGATTATAATAAGCATTACTGTACAACTGCTCAGAATATGATGTAACTTTTAATATGCTATAGTAATATGATCTCAGATAAAACACTTGCTCAGTGTCCCAAGCAACAGGCCCTAAAAAGAAAGAGAAAGGAAGAAACAAAATGTAAAAGAGCATATTCATAAAATCAGACTTTAGAGAACAGATACATTACATGATATGATATGAAAAGGCAGATATATTATATGTTTCTCATTGTTCATTATTTTTAATTGATGATATTTAGCTTTAAGTATGTTGAAAATAAGAAGCAGTGCCTTTCAAGGATTCAAAAAAATATTGGATCATACTATTTCCTTTCCTTTTCTTCACTTCCCATATAGTATATTTGGGAAGAAAGTGGAAACCCTACTGCAATGTGCCAAAAATTGTCAGAGAGAAGAGAAGAGAGACAAAGAGGCCTTTGCAGGCCCTTACAACAAAGGAAGACCATGCATGGGAAGACTGGTTGGTTCACAATAGGGAAGCTGTGACAGCTCTGCCAAGTAGAAGCAGTCATGGGTATGTATATTATTCCTTGTCAACCCATAGGAAAATACGAGTGATAATTAATGCTACTCTCCCCATACTATGGCAACTTGTGCAGGTTCTGCTATACACAGTCAGAATATGGGAAAAGCTTTGGTTTGTCAAGCCCAGAAAGATGCCTAAGAGTGAGCATAGAAGTAATGTTAATACAGTTATTGCTGTCAGCAACAGGCATAAAAAGGAAATAGATGCCCAACCCTGAATGCAGATGAAGGACCCCATAAAGAGAAACACTGCACTGTTGAGTTAGAAAATGGCTAATTAATTCTCAGCGTCTCAAATAACTTTGTCCTTCTCATGAACTTTCCCCTGAGTAGGCATATCTATCCCTGTGACTATTTAGCCCTGCCCCTCAACATTTTACCTTTTACTCCAGGTTTCTCACAGACCTAACTCTATGAAACCACTATTTCACTTTTGTTTGGAACTAGCTAGGTTAGAAATACATGGAGTTTATGTTTCAAAACTAGTATTCACCTATGTTTCCAAGACCAGCTAACATTGCTTTAAGCACAGAGAATGTATTTTATAAAAATATAATAATATTCAGCTCCAATATAGCCCTTTTCCCCTGCCAATCTCAAAATGTTTTACAAAACCAATTAGTATTGTTCCCGTTTTACAGAAGAAGAAACTGAGACACAGAGGTGAAGTGTCTTATTCATCATAATCAAGCTGGGAAGTATGTGTTACTGAAAGAATCAGAATTTGTGTGGCATAGTCTTTTTCCTGCTCACACGAGAAGAAATGAAGGAATTCCCTTAAACGTTCTCCCACAACAGACTCATGCTTTACCAGTATATACCAGTATGTAACCAGTATGTAACTTTATATATTTCAAGGATTCCTGTAAAAGTCTCTTGGACTGACACACATACAATAGGTAAATACAGTGTATATGACACACACCTAACGGAAAACAAGTCAAATAATAGAACAATTTGGAATAAAGAGAGCTCCACAGCTACTACTGGGATTATTTTGGGATTCATATACTGGATCTCATCCCTCCAAATTAGTTTTAGAATTACATAGAGAATATACAATTCCATATTCCCCTGCCTCATACCCAATTTATTTTGGTAATGAACCCTTTGGACATTTTAATACTGTGAAATCTGAGTCAGTGGATAAATAACATGTCACAGTCTGAAGCAGAAGTGGAAAAGAGTTGATCTTGTGACACCTCCATATTATATTCATAGTTTGAAAAGGAAAATTACTCCGAAGATTGAAATCCCTCTGTTTTGCTACATCATTTTTATCTGAAAATTAACTAAATCCCACTTACCTTAATTGAATTGTTCTATGAAATCATTGAGATTAGGCACTTTATCTGAAGCTGTATGACTATCAATGGACAAAACTCTCACTGACTTCAGTAAGGAATTTTGGATTAGTCCTCGGGTGAATTCATTAAGAAATTATCTTAATCCTCCAGTAATATCCATTTGAAATATACTTCTGTTTTGCAACACAATAAATATTGAAGTAATCTGTACTACTATGTTTCTACTGAAATTCTAGAAAGTGTCCCAAGTGAGATTAGATGTCACTTTTTAAAGTAATTGATGTCATATTTCAGAATTCCCATTCCCATTTCTAATATGCTAAAAAATCTTAAAATCCTTACCCCAAAATTTTGGTGGCCATTCGATGTCAGAACCAGTACCCTGTTTATCCATAACATCCAAAACAATATTTGCAATACTAGTATGTCCACAATGGAGCACTTGGTTTCAGAACATCTGAGGTGTAGCAGCAGAAGAAATGCTTTTACACAGCTGGCCACATTGTTTTGTTTGCCTAAAAGGAAATTGAAGTATCATTTCCTGCTTGGACACTCGAATTAGCAACTGTTCATCTTATCTTGGAGCACCACATGGTTCCTGAGACAGAGGAACTATTTCCTTCTCGTCATTTCCTTGGCTGAGTGATTTAACTTAAAACGATACCAAATCTCCTTCTTTTCTGAAATATGGGACTGCATCACAGTTAGAGAGATGAATGTCTGCTCTTCATCCCCACAGTGATTCTCTCTAGTAATGGCTTCATGCTCAAGCATTCAAAAACAACCATTCTTGTCAATGGGAATAGTAAGCAAACCAGGAATGAAGAAGCTGACTCCTATTAAGTATTCCTTCATTAAATATAACATTTTATTGTGTTGTTTTCATGGGCATATATAAGCATACTGAAAACATCTATATTTTCGTTAGTAGAAAATGTCTAGGAAATGTAAACACACATGCTTCTTGACAAGAACCTACAGGAAGTCAGAATAAAAAGACACCCTCTGGGAACACTAGGATGGAAGTTCTCTCTTACCTTCCTTTGAAGAATCTGCTACTGGTTATTGTCAAAGACAGACTACTAGTATAACTAAAATGGCAATTCCAATCATGCCTCTATAAATGCCATACACTATTCAAAATATGACAAAGATTAAATATGTTAAAAAATGATTGTTACATGCTTTAGGTTTATCTTATGGTTGTTGGGCATCTTAATACTGATCCCAATCTCACACCATGTTTCACACTGAGAAACACCTTTCTCTGCAATTAGTAACATTGAAATCATTGGGACTACTGGTGTGGTAAAATGGTATTCGGTTTAAGTGGTCAAACTAGCCCATTGTGTTTGCTAACAAATATGAAATAGAGAGAAAGTAAAAGACAAACTGTCAAATTCATTGTTGGTGTAAGTGGGTTCACCTCCCTTCAAACAAGTCAAACTTTATGCCCCTTTAAAACAAGAACTACATTTTGTCCTTTCATTTTGTGAGGTTGGCAGTAAAGTTAATGCAGTTACCCTGGATTTAGTGATGCAAGTAGAAGCAGAAGATAACTCTATGTCTCCATGGGCACAGGGGTGATGCGTAGGGGGTGCATGCAGGTGCACGTGCACCCCCTGAGCATGGCAGTGCACCCCCTACAAAAAGGCACTGCTGACTGTTGGCAGCATCTGCAGGTGGTCCGCAATACCTGCTGGCCACTGCCGATGCTTCCAGTGCTTGCCACACCCCCGCTTGCCACCACCATGCTCCCACTGCTCCTGCTGCCACCATGCCCCCGCAGCCGCCAGGGGCATGAGTCATTCATGCATGGGCGTGTCTACACGAGAGGCTTAATTTTGCATTAGCATAGTTTATTGCAAAGTAAGTATGTGAATCTACACATGCACATGCTTACTTCACAGCAAACCTCACTAATCCCAAGTAAATTTGCCACCTGCAAATGCAAGTAGCAAATTTACTTGGGATTAATAATGGCACTGTAGCGTTTGTGTAGATACCTGACTGGGAGCAAAATCTGCTCCCAGTCAGCTGTCCACCGGGGGCAGGAGATAGCTCCCACTTCCTGCCCCCAAGAGCTGCCTGCTGCTTGGGTGGGCTCCACCACAAGAGCCCAGGTATGGAATATGTCCCCCTGCCCTGGCAGCAGAGAGCTCCAAACCCAGATTTTGATTGTGGAGAGGGGGCTGAGAGATCCTATCCTCATGCTCATGGAGCTGGGCAGGGAACAAGCTCCCCAGCTCCTGCCCTACATGCCCGGGAGGGGACCATGTCCCCCTAATCTAGCAGCAGGGAGCTTCCAGCATCGCAATTGTGACTCCCTGATCGCAATTGTGGAGTGGGGATTAGGAGCTTGTTCCCAGCCCCCACTCTGCAATCACAGAGCTGGGGCTGGGAAAAAGTTCCCCAGCCCCTTATCCTGATCACAGTTGTGATCGTGGAGCAGGGGCTGGGAGCTCCCTCAATGGGGACAGTTCCGCGCCCAGCCTGCAGCTGGCTAGGACCTGCCCCTGACTGGGACAGGTCCCAGCCAGCCCCAGGCTCTGCAAATCTGAGTCAGTGGATAAATAACATGTCACAGTCTGAAGCAGAAGTGGAAAAGAGTTGATCTTGTGACACCTCCATATTATATTCATAGTTTGAAAAGGAAAATTACTCCGAAGATTGAAATCCCTCTGTTTTGCTACATCATTTTTATCTGAAAATTAACTAAATCCCACTTACCTTAATTGAATTGTTCTATGAAATCATTGAGATTAGGCACTTTATCTGAAGCTGTATGACTATCAATGGACAAAACTCTCACTGACTTCAGTAAGGAATTTTGGATTAGTCCTCGGGTGAATTCATTAAGAAATTATCTTAATCCTCCAGTAATATCCATTTGAAATATACTTCTGTTTTGCAACACAATAAATATTGAAGTAATCTGTACTACTATGTTTCTACTGAAATTCTAGAAAGTGTCCCAAGTGAGATTAGATGTCACTTTTTAAAGTAATTGATGTCATATTTCAGAATTCCCATTCCCATTTCTAATATGCTAAAAAATCTTAAAATCCTTACCCCAAAATTTTGGTGGCCATTCGATGTCAGAACCAGTACCCTGTTTATCCATAACATCCAAAACAATATTTGCAATACTAGTATGTCCACAATGGAGCACTTGGTTTCAGAACATCTGAGGTGTAGCAGCAGAAGAAATGCTTTTACACAGCTGGCCACATTGTTTTGTTTGCCTAAAAGGAAATTGAAGTATCATTTCCTGCTTGGACACTCGAATTAGCAACTGTTCATCTTATCTTGGAGCACCACATGGTTCCTGAGACAGAGGAACTATTTCCTTCTCGTCATTTCCTTGGCTGAGTGATTTAACTTAAAACGATACCAAATCTCCTTCTTTTCTGAAATATGGGACTGCATCACAGTTAGAGAGATGAATGTCTGCTCTTCATCCCCACAGTGATTCTCTCTAGTAATGGCTTCATGCTCAAGCATTCAAAAACAACCATTCTTGTCAATGGGAATAGTAAGCAAACCAGGAATGAAGAAGCTGACTCCTATTAAGTATTCCTTCATTAAATATAACATTTTATTGTGTTGTTTTCATGGGCATATATAAGCATACTGAAAACATCTATATTTTCGTTAGTAGAAAATGTCTAGGAAATGTAAACACACATGCTTCTTGACAAGAACCTACAGGAAGTCAGAATAAAAAGACACCCTCTGGGAACACTAGGATGGAAGTTCTCTCTTACCTTCCTTTGAAGAATCTGCTACTGGTTATTGTCAAAGACAGACTACTAGTATAACTAAAATGGCAATTCCAATCATGCCTCTATAAATGCCATACACTATTCAAAATATGACAAAGATTAAATATGTTAAAAAATGATTGTTACATGCTTTAGGTTTATCTTATGGTTGTTGGGCATCTTAATACTGATCCCAATCTCACACCATGTTTCACACTGAGAAACACCTTTCTCTGCAATTAGTAACATTGAAATCATTGGGACTACTGGTGTGGTAAAATGGTATTCGGTTTAAGTGGTCAAACTAGCCCATTGTGTTTGCTAACAAATATGAAATAGAGAGAAAGTAAAAGACAAACTGTCAAATTCATTGTTGGTGTAAGTGGGTTCACCTCCCTTCAAACAAGTCAAACTTTATGCCCCTTTAAAACAAGAACTACATTTTGTCCTTTCATTTTGTGAGGTTGGCAGTAAAGTTAATGCAGTTACCCTGGATTTAGTGATGCAAGTAGAAGCAGAAGATAACTCTATGTCTCCATGGGCACAGGGGTGATGCGTAGGGGGTGCATGCAGGTGCACGTGCACCCCCTGAGCATGGCAGTGCACCCCCTACAAAAAGGCACTGCTGACTGTTGGCAGCATCTGCCCCGATGCTTCCAGTGCTTGCCACACCCCCGCTTGCCACCACCATGCTCCCACTGCTCCTGCTGCCACCATGCCCCCGCAGCCGCCAGGGGCATGAGTCATTCATGCATGGGCGTGTCTACACGAGAGGCTTAATTTTGCATTAGCATAGTTTATTGCAAAGTAAGTATGTGAATCTACACATGCACATGCTTACTTCACAGCAAACCTCACTAATCCCAAGTAAATTTGCCACCTGCAAATGCAAGTAGCAAATTTACTTGGGATTAATAATGGCACTGTAGCGTTTGTGTAGATACCTGACTGGGAGCAAAATCTGCTCCCAGTCAGCTGTCCACCGGGGGCAGGAGATAGCTCCCACTTCCTGCCCCCAAGAGCTGCCTGCTGCTTGGGTGGGCTCCACCACAAGAGCCCAGGTATGGAATATGTCCCCCTGCCCTGGCAGCAGAGAGCTCCAAACCCAGATTTTGATTGTGGAGAGGGGGCTGAGAGATCCTATCCTCATGCTCATGGAGCTGGGCAGGGAACAAGCTCCCCAGCTCCTGCCCTACATGCCCGGGAGGGGACCATGTCCCCCTAATCTAGCAGCAGGGAGCTTCCAGCATCGCAATTGTGACTCCCTGATCGCAATTGTGGAGTGGGGATTAGGAGCTTGTTCCCAGCCCCCACTCTGCAATCACAGAGCTGGGGCTGGGAAAAAGTTCCCCAGCCCCTTATCCTGATCACAGTTGTGATCGTGGAGCAGGGGCTGGGAGCTCCCTCAATGGGGACAGTTCCGCGCCCAGCCTGCAGCTGGCTAGGACCTGCCCCTGACTGGGACAGTTCCCAGCCAGCCCCAGGCTCTGCAAGGAAGCACATATAGCCTGGAGGTGCCTGGGGACTGTCCTGTTTTGGGCAGTCCCCAGCCAGCTCCAGGCTGCAAATGCAGACGTCCCAGCACAGCCCAAGGCTCACCAGGAACTCCCCTGGTCATGGGCATGTCCCAGCCCCATGCCTTAATTGAGTGATCAAGGTATGGGGCTTGGAAAAAGCTGCAGGGGTGGGGTAGGCCCCACCCCC